GGGTGGATCACCTGAGGTCAGGAGTTCGAGACCAGCCTGGCCAACATGGTGAAACCCCGTCTCTACTAAAAATACAAAAAATTAGCTGGGCCTGGTGCTGGATGTCTATAATCCCACTACTCCGGAGGCTGACGCAGGAGAATCGCTTGAACCCAGGAGGCAAAGGGTGCAGTGAGCCAAGATTGTGCCACTGCACTCCAGCCTAGGTAGCAAAAACGAAACTCCATCTCAAAAAAAAAAAAATAGCCGCGCACGGTGGAGGATGCCTGTAATCCCAGCTACTCGGGAGGCTGAGGCAGGAGAATTGCTTGAACCCAGGAAGTAGAGGCTGCAGTCGGCCGAGATCGCGCCATTACACTCCAGCCTGGGTGACAACAGTGAAACTCTGTCTCAAAAAACAATAATAAAATAAAATAATTTGCTGGACTACTGCAATACTGAGATCCTTCTCAAATTGTTCTCCGGTGTTAAAGTGGCGACAGGAATTTCTGGAGTACAAACTAATCTCTGTGGGAATTGGGAAAAAAAAAAAAAGTACTAATTTGAATTTCAGTACCTATGTTGCAATACTAAATTCTTGACAGGGATTAGTACTCCGTAGGTTATGCTTCTTAAATCTCCAAAAGTAAGCCAACGTGTGAAATCGTACATTTTTGGTCCGTAATTCTAAGACTTTCACAAAACGTTGCATTGCCTCGTATTTGAATTTGAGAACTGAGACTTATTTAAAAATTCTTCACTGTTCTTTTCCTTTTTGCCCTTCGATTTCGCAAGTGAAACGGTCATTTCAACAGCACACACATTACACTAGAATAAAGCCAAGTAAAACGACAGACTAAATCAGATCCATGAATACACGGCGACTCCTTATTTGGTTTTTACTTAATACTTTCACTACATTTCATGTATTCAGGAAAGTAAAAGAACAACGTACCGTGCCAAATGCACTAACTTACTAAAAACCAATTTAGGCCAATTCTTTACAGCGTTAAGTGTGGGTTGAAAACCAACTTTCCTAATACTTGTGGTGAGTGCCTCAAGGTCGTTAGGCTAAACATAAAGCTTCCAAGACACTTCGCAGCCTTCCTGCACTTCCAGAAAGGCCAAATAAACCAGCATCCACCTTCCCGCTCCATCCGGGCCCCGACTTCCCGACCCGAGAGGGCGCTGAGTGCCCGGGCTCTGCCCAGGGCGGGGCTCTGCGGAACCGAAAGCTTCGGACGCCGCCCACGGGGAC